TATATCTTTCCGAGTCCTGAAAAATATAAAATCTTATCTTGGGGCTTCGTACTTTGTCGTAATATATTCATCCCTTGAAATTTTAGAACGCAACAACCCTATAAACGGTATTTTTCGAGGAAAAACTTTGCGACGTAGGGGTGGGCCTGGCACGTCACAACTTGGAGCACGACCTCAGCAGGCTTCAAACAAAGGTAAGGGCAGCAATTCATTTATTTTCAATAGGAAAAACATTTCAGATTTGGTCTCGGCTGGGGGCAGAACTCTGAAGAAGCGCTACCCAGATCCTGGGTCCTAGGAGAAGTCTGCTAACACAACAGTTTTTTCGACAAAATTGCTGAATTTCAGTGTGCGATAAATCAAATTCAAAAAGTGCTAGAGAAAGAAACAATAAAAAATAAATAAAAAAATACAACAAACAAAGGCGAGTGAGCGAGAGAGAGGGTGAGAGAAACAAAAAGAACGAAGGAACGAAGCGAAAAGAAAGAAAATGTCCTGCGATGTATATGCCTCACTCTGTTTGTATTTAATTAATTTTAGTTAATGTACAATTTTAAAATATTTTAATTAATCTAAATTATTTGAAGGATCTTCTCTGTGAACGGGGGGGGGGGGGGTACCTAGTTGTCAGTAATAAATAGTTTATCATAAAAAATTAAGAAGTTTTGGAATTTGAAAATTTTGGCCCTTTTTCGGCCATATTTAAAAAAATTTATGACTTTTTATGATCTTTTTGTCTCTAAAACTGCGTAAACTACTATATCAATAATTTCCTTTTCGTAATAGGGCCGTACGGAATTACTGGGGAAAAATTTGTTCCCTCCCCCGTTAAGAGAGAAGAACCTATTCAAAAAAATCTATTATAGTAGCAGAAGATCAGCAATCCTCCACATGCCGTGTCGTGTACTGCCGTGTCGTGTCGCCGGGTTCGTCGGCCGAAAAATCCACCTCACCACCGGGGCTGACGAGCCCTGGCCTGGATTTCGGCCCGTATTTCGCGAAAGGTATCGATTTTTAACTATTTTAATTTTTTCAATAGCTGCCATAATACGAAAACATTGGTTAATTTTAAAAATTTTTTTAGTGGCTGAAGCGATACCGCCAGTTCAGCCTCAACCAAACGGGCCACTGATCGGGCAGGAGCGGTGGTGGAGTAAGTTTTGTTTGGGTACTTTAAGAATGTCGAAAATCACAATGTCTAAATTTCATAATGCCGACATTTAACAATGTCGAAAACTCATAATTTCGTAATTTGCATATGCGAATCTCCCGCGAATCCGATGCAAAACGTTTTGACATTCCGTAATTTCGATATTCTGAAATTTCGATATTATGAATTTCAACATTAAGATTTTCGACATTTTGAAAGAAACCCGTATTTTTTGGGGTACTTTAAGACTCTCGACAATTAAGAATGTATAAATTTGACAACGACGAAAATTCAGAATTTCGAAATTTACGCATCCAAATCACCCGGAAAACCCCCCGAATTAGATGCAAAAATTTTCGACATGCCGAATTTCTATATTATGAAGTTTCGACATGACGAATTCGACATTATAAAAGTTTGACGTTCCGAAATTTCCATATTTTGTTGGCAAATCGTTTGATTTAGTTTTATTTTCTCAATGTTCTTTTTAATGTAACCCTTAAAGTTGCAATCGAAAGGACCTGATTTCTTTAATTTAGTCAAACACTTCCCGGCCCCGTTTTCGAACACGCTGTTCGACGCTGAATCGCCCTGCTCACCGGAAGCGCCGGCAGAAGGTATTGCTTTTTTCTTCTAACTTTTCCTAACTTTCGGTTTTCTAAGAATTTTTTCCTAGAATTTCTGTTTCCAGCCGCGCCCCTCGCCGCCGACGTCGAGGACCCGATTCTGACGCTGGGCGAAAAGTTACGAGCCGATTACCCGGAAGTGACGTTCAACGAACCGAAATCCAAATATCTGACGTGAGTTTTATAGCTATTTTATACTGGTTCTTTCCCATTATCGGGGGGACAACTTTTTTTTTCTTATCATCGAATTCTTAATAGGAATAGGGGAAGTGCTTCTTTTTACCACTTGCAAACCTGCGAGCTTTCCAAATTTTGGTTAGAAATACAAAAAATATAGGGTTTTTCAGCCAAAAATAGCCGATTTTGGACCAAAATTGCGATTCAAAAAAATTTTCTAGAATTTTTAGATGGTTGTCGTAGTTGAAAATAGTTATATTTTCCTAAAACGTTATTAAAACTTTTACATTTACGTTGCTAGGAATTCCCGGACTTATAGGAAAACGGTGCCCCCCTGGATATTGCCAAAGCGCCTTTTTATCTTTTATTTTCCGCTTTTCAGTCGATTGCCGCCCAAATTGCGCCGCGAGTTCCTGTCCCGCGTCGGATATTTCCAGCCGAGGTTTCCGCTATATTACGACGGCGAGAAACGGAAGCAGTGGTACGAGATGAGATTGTGAGTGAATTCATATAAAACAATTAAAATAATTTTGTTTTCAGTCGATATGCCTTAACAGCGCCGCAAGAAGCAGAACTGGACGCTAGGCTGGAGGAAGCCGACCACCAAAGGAAAATCAAGGCCGAGCTGAAGAGGCAGCGAAAGTAGGCTATGGCGCTTTAATCTTTAATAATATATATTAGAGGCTCTTTCGCGTTATCGGGGGGGAGCGGAAACTGAATTTTCTCTAAGAACCGTGTTGTTCTAATATAAATGCAATAAGTGTTCCGAAACTGTTTTTTACTAGTCCTAAATGTAACAACTTTAAAAATTTTAATCGAAAAAAGCCAAAAACTCCAATAACTGGAACTATTATTGTAATGTTTCTAGTTAAATATAACTATAATTCGAGAAGAACGATCTAAAAACGTCAACAAAATTTTGAAAAGGTCGAAATTTTGACTACCGATCGTCCATTTTTGGCACAAAAATCTAATCTTTCGTATTTTTAATGAAAATTTGTACGGTTTTTACGTTTAGGAATAGTAAAAAAAACAGTTTAGAAACAGTCACTATATTTATATTAGAGCAATTGGACCTCTCCCCCCCCTCCCCGATAATGCGACAGAACTCTCTTAGGTTGGCCCGAAGTCGGCGACGCTACTGGCGCAGGAAAAGTGACCCGGTGGAACACGAAGCCTATTTGAAGCGGAAAAGGGCGAGCTATGAGCTGAAGAAGTGGGTTCTAGGTGCTTTCGCATTATCGGGGGGGATTCTTTTCTTTCGGAGTTAGAGACAATTTTTTTAAAAATAAATAGCGGAAGGGTTTCTAAACTACTTTTACTATTCCTAAACGTAAAAACTTTTCAATTTTTTGATCAAAATTTCGATTTCCTTGACATTTTTTATAGCTTTTTGTTAGTTTTTCTAGTTAAAATCTAGTTTTATTTTGCGAAAAACGTTATGAAAATACGTTCTATGAAGTCACTAGGCATTTCTAGATTCATACAAAAAAATCCCCCCCCCCCCCGATAATGCGAAAGAGCCGCGTTCGAAAGTTTTTACATTACTTCCGGATACCTGTAATAACAGTGCTTTATTTTTTCTAGGCGACGGGAGAGTCAAGCGAAGAAAAAGGCTCAAAAACCGGCCGGACTGGGGGAAGAAGAACATCCTGAGGAGAAAGAGGCGGAAATGAGTGAAACAGATGAGCACGAGCCAGAAGAAGATGAACCCGATGAGGAAGAGGTCGAAAAGAGTGAAACCGATGAGCATGAGCCAGAAGAAGACGAGGAAGAGCTTGGCGATGAAGACTGGACGCACTTCCTATAATTGTTGTTGAAACCCGGTTTTGTATTTTGTAGCCAGTTGTCATTTTAGCAATTTGATGGCTCTCGAACTTGCACGATTTGTTAATTGTTACCTTGTTATTTTACCGCCATCATTGGCATTACGTTGTTGATAAAAATTTTGAAACAACAATAGATTCGGACGGTTGAATTTGTGCTTGACTTCATGGAATATTTTTAAGGCATTCGGAAGACAGCTGTTTTGCTCGGTTTCTCGTATCACGGTAATACCATTAGGCTAGGTTGTGAAAAAATATATAGGAAAGTAAGGAAGTAATAGCAAAAATATACAGACGAAAAGTTTGAATCCGAATTTCGCATTTCAAGTTGAAAACGTTTTAGAGCTTTTTTAAGAGATTCTGAAGTCATCTACTTGGCCAGCTTACTAAAAAAGTTTTCTTTTGTAATTGTGTTAAATTAGAGATACTTTAAGGTATAATAAAGTCGCAAAATCGCCAATCTTAAAAACATATGTTGTAGTTTAGTTATGATTTTTTTTTGAAAATTTCATAGAGGTTGAAGTTACCTGCTTTCTCAGTTTTTTGTGTAACTTCGTAAATTAGGGATATTTCAGGTATATTAACAAAGTTGTAGCCATCTCGCTGGACACCAAAAACATCTGGTGTAGTTTTGTGTCTTGTAGTTTGGGGCCGGCCGGGCGGTCGATTGGACGGGCGCCATTTTCTAGGCTACAAATTCCCTGGCCAGGGACTCTTGATAAGAATTTGTCGTTTTAGGGCAACGATACATTTTTTGTGTTTTAGCGCTTTTTCGCAAACTACGAATTCTAATGCAGGGGTTTGTCACCCTTCGTTCAAAAAGGGGGTAGTCGTTTGGCGCCGTGTCCCCACTACAAACTACAAATTCGCCGGGTCGGGGAGAGATTTTCAGTACTTTCACGCGCCCTTCAGCGGTCTTGAAATCGATTTTGTTTTGTTTCTGTAGAATCTGTAGCTTTAAATAAGTCATAACATCTTAAACGAAAAACAAAAACAAAATCGAAGCTTTTTGGAAGCTCTACATTCAGTTTTGTAGCGCCGTTCAGTTCTCTTGAAATAGATTTATGCTATTTAACAGCTTTGGAAGAAAAATTAGAAGCTAAAATTTTTGGAAATTGACATGTTAAAAATCATGGATTCCCCTTGAGATAGATTTTCTGGGCTTTTTTTGCACCTTAAAAGTATAAATCAACGAAAGTTCGAATTTTTAGAAGCTTTACAATGGCTGACGACGAGCATTGGGTAGCCCTCGACGCCCAACTGCCCGACGAGGAAGACTTTGATTTTGAGGAAGAAGAGGAAAAGGAATGGCAGGGTAATTAAACCTTTTAGTTTTCCAAAATATGATTTTTCAGCCCAAGTCGACATGGGAAAGGTGAAGGCGGAGCCGATGGGTAAGAGTTGCTTTTGGAAAAAAAATAAAAGATTTTTAGATGAATACTACGAGGATGACTATGAAGCTTCTTCTTCTCTCCCCGGCCCCAGCACTTCGCTGCCCCCGCTTCCGCCAAATGCTTTTAATAGTGGGTTTATCTAAAGTTATATTAGCAGATTTCTCTATGAATTAGTTTTGTTTTGTTTGATTTTGTTTAGTAGAATAGCGTTTTTTTTGCAAAATCTGAACTTTTGCTATGAAAATTTCGTTTCTTTTCGCTCCTCAACGCGATATAATTAGCAGAACCTTTTCCAAACTTTTTCACGATTTTCCACAACTCCTGTGGCCAAAAAGCTCGAACTTTCAAACATTTTTCTAAGGTTTTTGAAAAGTTTTACGCTTGAATTATGGCTAAATTTTGTCAAAAGCAAAATTAAGATGACGTGAATAGGCATACCTCGAATTTTGGGAACATTTAGGTAAATCTAAATAGTTAAATCTTGATTTTTAGCCCACCTCTCCCGAAACGTTGCCGGAATCGCGCCGCTCTTCTCGCGAGTCGTTGGAGCCGGCCAATTTCAAGGAAACATTCCGGCTAGCCAACCCCCGGTGCGGATGCAGCCGTTGTTTTCGAATTGTGTGGGAGCTGCTCAAATTCGGGCCAGCTTGTCTCGACCGGTACAGGCAACCCAGATGGTTCGACCGAAGGAGGATCGTAAGTTTCAAAATATGTTGTTACAATTGTAATTACGCTAATTACTTCATTTTTCGGGTGTTACAGGCGATTTGGAGATCGAAACGAAGGAAACCAAGCCGCCTACGCTTGATGACATCCTCGGGAATGTTGGTACGTATTTTTCGGCGTAGTTTTGAGCTTCTAGAGCTTCGAAGACTTTATCTTTTATTTCTTTTGCTTTTGAAGCTTATTTCATTGTAGAAATCAACTCTAAAGACTATTATGCAGCGTTAACGATATTTTTAAGCTTCTGAGGCGCCAGAAATCTGTTATTTCATGTATTTTTATTTTCCAAAATTTTTAATGTACGAATCGCCCCTAAGGGCTTCTTTTTACGATTTTCAACAGATTCTGCTCCATCCCCATCTACCTCCGCTGTTCCGCAAGCCACTGTTACAAAGCGGCGAGCCCCAGTTCGAGGTATAAAATCGAAATAAATGATGAATTTTTGCCCTTTTTTTAGGACTCCAGCGCCGCTCGGTTCCCTACCAGCCAGACTACGACTACGCGAAGAATCACATTCGTAAGTTTTTCTTACCAAAATGGAATTTTTTACACTTTTTTCTTTTAACGCCTTACTAACTTTTTTAAAATAGTTTTAATAACGTCGTTTTTCAGCCGCCGACGATCCGGACCCGGTTGCACGTTGCGCCGAGCTGCTTCGCGCCAAATTTCCCGACATCCCGTTTGGCATCCCGACGCTGCGCGATGAGCTGTACGTCCAAATTTTTGATTTTTGCTTTGTTAAAAAACTGCGTTTTGAAAAAAGGCTCAAATTTTGTTTCAGGAAAGAAAACCGTGCCTCTGTTCTCCGAATGATGAAGGGCCCCCGGTTCTTCCGGCCCTATTTCACGCCTGGCACGCCGTCTGAGGTGAAGAAAACGTGGTACTACCATAGAACGTAAGACGCGTGATTTTTCGATTTTTAATGTTCTTTTTCTAGAAAAATGAGCCACACGCGCGAGGAATGGCAAGAGGTCATGCGCAAGAAGTAAGATTTGAATTTTATAATTTTTTAAAGTTTTTAGGTACTTATTTAACTTTTTGAATAAGAAATAGATTGTTCTAAATGTTGATGAATGGTGATTTAAATAGATTGTTCTAAAATTGTTTTTAAAAATTTGTATTTTGGCTTAGAAATCAATTTAGGAACGAAAACATGACGGACGAGCAGAAAAAGCACAAAGACATGAAGAAGCGCGAGTATTGGAGGAGGAAGTGAGTTTTTCGCACTTTTGGACTCTAAGCTACCTTTTAGAAGAGACTCAATGGAAGCGAACAAGCCAGCAGCAGATGAGGAAAAGCCGAAGCCGAAAAAGTCACGGTTTCCGATCACCGATCCGGAGGAGCGCGAGCGGATCAACGCGAAGGCCCGTGCAAAGTATCATAGGAGGTGGTATTTAACAAATTTAACTTAATTTCATTGTATAATTGGTTTTTATGATATAAAATCGAATTTAAATTGGTTTAGATTGTTTTAAAGCAATAAATGTTGTTTTTAGACGAGAACGCCTTCTCCAAAGCCAAGGGCTCGTCCACTATCCGCCAGACTATACGGAGGGGCCGAGGAGAACGTGGGTTTTCTTGAAATTAAATTAATTTTGTTAGTAGTTTAAGACGCGTTTAAAGCATTATATTTTTCTATGATAGGATTATAGGCAATTTAAATTATATGTATTATTTTTATTATATTTTTGTATTATAAGAGGGATAAGCATTGTATTATTCTATTATTATTGAGAATTAGAATTTTTTATAATTTTAGTGTTCTATTAAAAACTTTCTAGGTAATTTCAGTTTTTTTTTGCTAATTTCAACGTAATTTAAACGAACCTAAGCAAATTTAATTTACCGTTTTAGAACAAGAAAAAGGAAGCCGAAACGCCAATCCGACGACGAAGACGAAGCCCCGATCCCGCAGCTTGATAATATTCTTTTTGAGGCCGAGGAGCAGATCAAGCTACAAGCCAAAGAGTTGGTTTTAGAACATTTATTAAAATATAAAAAATTTGATTATGAAAATAATTTGTTGAAGAAAAATACTTCTAACATCTATTTTTTTAGAAAAGCGCTGCAGTGCGCGGCCAGGGAGAAGCAACTGCTCGAGGAGAAGCGCCAGGCTCGGGCGGCTAAAAGGTGGGACTTTTGGATGTTATTGCATTTTATTTTTAGTGCTCAAAAAGATCAGGCTCCGGCAGATCAAGTCTTGATTGATGAGCAGCGCTTCTTTGCGACGATCAGGTAATTGAGAGCGTTTTTAAATAATTTCTGCGTTTTCTAGAGCTACTGCTCAAATCCAGGAGCAGCACATGGTGCACACCGAGGAGGACAAATTTTACAAGGCTATAATGTAAGCGAATTTGATTTGGGAAAGGTTTTTTGGTAGGAAAATTGCTTTTAGGTATCTAGAATTTAATTGTCGATTTTTAATATAGGATCAAATTTATGTTTTAGTATTTTAGTAAAGTTACTATCTAATTAAATGAGGGTGATGTTAAATTATCTTTATTATTTTTCTATTTCAGCGCAGCAACTGGGGAAGCGGGCGAGAATACGGCAGATGACACGGCGACTCATTTTGCTCTTGAGGTATCGAAATCATTTTAATAATCTTAAAAATTGATTTTTAGGATCTTTTCCGGAACCAGGGAGGGATGCCGGACGTCGAAGAATAGCCTGATGTGACCGTTAAAAATTTCTTGCATTTTTTGGAATGTTTTACGTTCATTTTTCTCTTGGCTCGCTGCTGTGATCTCAACATTGCTGGTCCTTCATTTTCCTGGTTAAAAAATTTAGCAGAAAATTGAAGTTTTGTTAGATACCTATTCAATTCGTTAGAAACGCTTCAGTTTTATTGATTTAAAAATTGAAAGAAAATTGATTTGAAGCTTCAAACATTTTTAAACTTGGTTAGATACCTATTAAATTGGTTCGATGCATATCTGGCTTTGTAGATCCAATTTTAGCAACTTAATAAAAATTGAAGCACTTTATTATAATACAAAATACAAATCCCGGGAATAAAGCTCGTTTTATCACAGTTTTTGTGGATCACAAACACACGCGCACGCGGGCTTTTCAGCGAAAGCGACTACCCTCAATTGATTTTTGGATACCCATAGTTCGAGTTGGAAATGGAATAAAAAGAATAATATGTACGTGGAAGGGTGGTTAATATGCAAATCACAGGGATAAGGGGAAATACAAGTAAACGCTAAAAAAAAGCAAATGAAAACTAAATAAATTAAAATTAGTAGCTATTTTTTAATGGACCAGTAAGCGGAAAATCTGGACCCCGACCCCGTAAAAGACATTCATAAAAATGACGCAAAATGCGACTTGCGCAACGAAAATTAGAATATTTAGAATATTGGCGAAGCTGAACAGCTTGGCCGGGACGAAAAAGTGGTAGAGGTCTCCGAGTTTTCGCGACATGTAGGTGATGGTGCCCTGGAGAGGGGGATCGGCTGAGAAGTGGATGGAGACTTCCTAAAAAGATATAGTTAGCATTGCTTTATTTCTCTGCCGTGCTCTCTCTCTCTCTCTCTCTCTCTCTTTCTCTCTCAATCGTTCTCACTCTCTCTGTCTTTCGCTCACTCTCTCCCTCTCTCCGCTCGCTATCTCCCCCCTCTCTCTCTCTCTCTCTCTCTCTCTTTCACCTGGGGCGTCTTCTCGGCCGTCTCCGGCAAGTACCAATAATTGACGACAACGTAGACCACGTTCATCCCCACGAACGGCACCAACACGTTCCCGGTACCGAGGTGGTTCACCGCCGTCAGCAAGCAGTTCGTCAGAATGCCGCCGAACACGTTCTAAAAGTAGAAGTAAAAAATTTTTGAAGTTCAAAGTGATGCAAAACTCCAAAAAACTGGGCTATCTACCTGTGCAATGCCAACAATCGCCGTGCCCAGAATCTTGTCATTATGCAGGAAAAGCTCAGGGACAATGGCGAAAGCGCTTTCGCCGGATATCGCTGCAGCCGAAAGGTCAAATGCGGCCAACACGGGCAGGATGATGGCGATGGGAATGCCGTGGAGTAGGGCTGAAAATAGTGCTTAATCAATCCTCGCGGATTTCTCAGGAACGCCTACATTAAAAATCCCGAAAGAGAGTCCAACTTTGATATTTTAGCTGTTGCTCCTTCTCAAGCTACTAACCTTTCTCAAATGTCGTGAAGAATATGGCCAACATCCCAAAAACGACACTGGCCATGGTGGGGATGATCAGTAGAGCTCTTCTGGAGAAATTGTCGAAACAGCCGAGTAAGGCTAGGGAGATGATGGCCTGAAAATTGGAGTTTTAAAGGAGTCACGTAGGCAGGAAACGACGACTTGACAAAGCCCGTAAGAAGTCCATGGTGAAAAAAGTGGCCTTATTAAAGTGGATTAGAATTCGGGATGTTTTAGACCTGTAAAATCAGAAATGTCACTCACCTGCGGCAACGACATCAATAAGGAAGCTCTCTGTGCCCGATTCGCTGTCAGGCCAACATTTTCGAAAATTTGCGTCGAGTAAGAGATCCAGAGCTGAAAGATCAAACCTTTATCGTCCCTGGAAGGCTCATAAAAGTTTTTAATCTTGCGAAAGATTCAGAAAATCTTTCAAAGTATGTTGAAGCACGGGAACTCGACGTACCCAATCGTCCAAATGCACAAATGACTGCACGAAGAGGGCAATCAGGAGCGGCCTTGCGAAATAGCCATCTTTTAGGCGCTGGAAAATTTGGGTGGCCCCCGGCTCCCTGGCCATTTTCATCTTGGGGTTGTTGGCGTTGATGTCGACGTCTTCCTGAAAAATGTCATCGATACCACTATTCCATTAACCCCTCTCCCTCCCTCTCGCTCTCGCTCTCTCTCTCCTCTTTCTCCTCTTCTAATAAGCAGTGAAATTACCAATTTCATCTCTTCAAAAATCTCATCGACAGTCTGCCGAGCGTCTGATGAATTTTGGTAGTAACTCAACGCCTTTCGAGCCTCGACTTCTCGATTGAGCATGAAGAGATACCTTGAAAACATACCCGTTTCTAGCTTTATACTTTCAGAATTAATTCATAAAAATTATCAGGGCCTTGCTTACCTCGGCGACTCCGGAGCCCGATACAGAATATATAAAGCTGGAATCAACGGTAGTAGGGGAACAGCCATGGCTAGGTGCCAGTGTTGAGATGTTCCGAGTAGTTCTTCGAGTGAAATCAACATGCCTCCAAGCTCTCCCATGCAGGCCCACATTGTCTAAAATGGACTTGGCTTAAGCTTAGGCTTAGGCTTAGGTTTAGGCTTAGGTTTAGGCTTACCAAAGTCGCCAAAGCTGTGCCTCGCTTGCGGAGTGGCGGGATTTCGGCCAACATCACCGAGCCCGACGTCTAAAGAGGTAATCTTTCAAAGAAGAGAAGAATTGAGACTATACCTACGTTATAAAACGTAGTCGTTATCAAGGGTATAAATAAAGTATATTATAGCGTACCTGCACTATTCCCTGACCAATCCCGTTGACGAATCGGCCAACAACAGCTGCCGTAACGCCTCCAGGAAGGTAAACGGTCATGGCAGACAATACCACGCCGAAAATGTCGAGCAGCGTGCCGATCAGGATCGGGGTCTGAATCATATTTTAAACAGCTGATAAAGGATAAGCCCAAGCCCAAGTCTAAGCTTAAGCCCTGGCAACCTAAAACTTGACTGACCCGCCTCCCAAACCGGTTCGAGAAAAGCACAGAAAGGAAGCAGCCCACAGCTAGCCCGTAGATGCGGCTGGAGACGAGGAACTCCCACGCTTTATCGGCTGAAAATATTATGTACTTACTTTCTCTCTCTCTCTCTCTCTCTCTCTCTCTCTCCCTCTTGCTCTCTCTCCCACTTGCTCTCCCTCTCTCTCGCTCTATCTCTTGCTCTCTCTTTCTCTCTCGCACTCTCTCCGCTCTTTCCCTCTCTTGAGTCACAGACCTTCATCCTTATCCTTGTAGATTGTCAACAAAAATGGCATGGCTGCCGGGAGGAGGTTGTCGACGACCGAGTCGAGGAAGAGCTGAAGACAACTGGTTACGACATTGAAATCAGGATCACCATAAAGTGAGAGGCTGCGCCGATGGAGAGTACGACCATCGTAAGCTGTAGAGTTTCAGCACTCCGGGGGCAGGGCCGGGGGATGCATATCGACACATCGCCGGCTTTCATTTACCTGAAATAGGAACGTATGATGAAGCTCCAAAAGTGATAAAGTGAGGAGCATGAACTGAAGATACAAAAGGATATAGGGGCATCGGATAATTATTTCAAGGACGCTCTATTTCTCTCTATGCATCTCTCTCGCTCTCTCTCTCTCTCTCTCTCTCTCTCCTTCTCTTTCTCTAAATAAGCGAAACTTTTCGATGCTATGAATTAGAATTCAGAAAATCAGAAAAGGCGAGAGAGAGCGGGAGAGAGAGAGCGAGCGAGAGAAAGAGAGACGGTATGTTTCAAGCAAATTTACAGAAGCATCAATCAATTTTTTTCAAAATCAGAGGTCACTGAAACGCGAAATAAAGCCGATTCGCCATAGACCTCAATTTTTTACAAAAATTTGTATAGCAATCCCGAACGCCAGTGACCAGCTGCCGATTTTTACAGTCGTCAAATTGCGGGTGTGGCGTGAAAGGCACGAAAAGCCACCCACCCCCTCATGGCGAGGAGCCGTGGAAATCCACGCGTCCGAAAAATGAGGAGGCGTGAATAGGCGGCGTCGACTCATTTTGTCGGCTGGGGAAAATTTTGGGCACAAAAAAGTTGGTGATTGGGGTCGCGGCGGTGGGATTGAATTTTTTGAATAGGAAGAGAAATTGGATCGGAGGCGGTCTGGTGGATTTTATGATATTTTATGTGAATTTAGAATTCGATAAAATTGCTTGAAATGCATTGCCGGCTAATGAACTCCAGGAAAAAGCGGGCAAAAATTCTGGGCAAAGTCGAAGTCGTCAAAACAAATAGTTCGGGTAGAAATTGTGATATTTTATAAGCAGGAGAAAGTATATGAATGTTATGCCCATTTAGGGAAATGTTCGTTTTCTTGCTCCTTGAGGAAGTTGGTCCAACTCCAAGCAGTGCAATGCACTTTTTTGGCTAAGGTCCAAGCTAGTTCCAGTGGATTTTATCATATTTTATGGAAGATCGGAAGAGGAACAGTTAGGAAAACGATCCGTCTATGCGTCGCTACGCCTGAACTGCCTCAGAAGTTGGCATAACTCCGAGGTGTAAAAAAGCACAAGCGGAAGTGGAAACTGGGAAATGATAACGCGGAGATCTTCCTCGTTCTATCAGTGTTCCACCTTCGGGGTTCGAATCTCATTTTCGATCCAGGAACTTGATAGAGAGAGAGAGGGCGAGAGAGAGAGAAAAAGAGGGAGCGAGAGCGTCGCTAGAACAGGTGATAATCCTACAAAAACAAGCACAATATTATTTTCGGCAATGGATAAGGCGGAAATAGCAAAAAAGGAACACAAGAAAACATAGCTCAAAAATGCTCATAAAAATTCATCACTTATATGGGCGAGTACGTCAGAAGGGAAAACTACCGGTTTCCTGCTGTCGATCCGGAAATGCCAAATAAAATGTAAAATCAAAATAGCTATGCAAAAATGAGGTAAAAAAGCAGAAATGATTAATAACGAAAATATAAAAACCAAAACGAGAAAGTTTTTCAAGCTTTGACCGAAAAGATTCCAAAAAAGAAACGCGTCCCATTCCCACATGGCTGTTTTGGTTGGCTGATTCAGCGCTATCCGCGTCAGGCAAAAAAAGATAAAACAACGAAATAGACGATGGAAGAAAGTGGTGGGGAGGAGCGTGAAAAGCGGAAGAGGATCAAAAGAAAAGAAGCTTCAATGGGATCCGCCGGAAATGTGAACCCAAATAAGTGGAACCTGCGGACCACGTGGATTCTCAATATCAAGAAAACCGCTAAAAAATCGGACGATCTCGAAAGGGCGAACTGACAGTGATCATTTAGGAAGCTCACTCTTCAGGACCTTCAGACAATCGAAAAGCTGGATGGGCGCACTAGCAGAAACAATTTGTAAAGGTCTCAAGCGGAAAAAGCGGAATTCTCAATTATACTTTAAATATACCTCCAAGCTGGCCGATGCGTTTAAAGAATTAGATCAGGATTCCTACGAAGAGAGAACTAGCAGAGACCATTTGAGGGAGTTCTCAAGGAAATGCCTGAAAATCAAAATCACACTCAAAAATGGACCTGGAGAGCTAACCGAGATTCTTTAGGAAATCAGAAAATACAAAAAAAAAACAATAGAAAATCGGCAATGCTAAACAGGTTTGAAAAATAAGGCAAAAACTAGCAGAGACCATTTGCGGAATGTATCCGGCTTCAGCTAACACCCCCACTTTCCCATAAATTGTCCAACCGACGCGCCAAAAAGTGTGTAAAAGATTACGCCTGAGCGATGGGCGTGGTAGAAGAACATGCGTCGGCTGATAGCGAGCGATAAGCGCCTGGAAGGGAGCGTGCCAAAAATGAAAAGTTAGTGCTTGAAAAAGTATAAAATACCTTGAATTAAGTTGTATTTAATTTAAAAATTCGCAAGAAAAATATCCACAAATTCTGACTTTCTGATAAAGATTTGAATTTAATGGAAACATTTTTGCATTTTTTACATTAAACAAGTTAAATTAAAAGCCAGCACAAAAAAATCACATCCGCTTCCGTGCTGCGATGCAGGTGTATGATGTGGGTTTTTTGGGGGTGGCTCCTGGGGTTGCCGGGTGACGATAAAAAACTGCTGGCAATCCCATAAAATTTTTTGGACGAGTTTTTCCGTGGTGAGTTCAAGCCCGGATTTGCATAATTTAGAACAAAAACTTTAATTTTAACTGTTGATTAATAAAAAAAATTAAAGACGAGAGTGCTCATGCTTCAAAATTCCACCGGATGTCCGTCAGAGCCACAGGCTGTGATTTTTTTGAGCTGATAAGGATTGAGGGCTGATGGTGGGTTCAAAATGGGTGCAAAATAAACGGAGGGCACGCAAGCCAGCAGAGACCCTTAGGGAAACAAAAAATAACAAGCAGAACAAAATAGAGCTGCCTCGCGTGCTCTATTGAGGTCTCTCCCCCTGCAAAATATGCAATTCCATATTTTGCGGGTCTCAATATGCAAAGCGAGAGAGACGCTAACCATCGCCTTGGGACGTTTGATGGCCGTGCCGCATTGGGGGGTGGGGGTGGCCGGAAAAATGGGGCCAATTTCGGCGGTCGGATGAATCCGGGAATGGTTCGACGGGGGAGCTAGCTAGCTCGAGGGGGATGGATTATGGAAATTGCATGCCTCCGGAGGGCACGGGAAGATCAAATAGACCTCCACGATTACGTGAAGATCTGTCGGGGGTTGTAGGAGTGAAAAGTAAAGTGAAAATCCTGGCCTTTGTCTGTCTCTCTCTCGCTCCCTCTCCCTCTTTCACTCTCTCTCGCTCTCTCTCCCACTCACTCACTCCCTCTTTCTCTCTCTCGCTCTCTCTCTACGGCCTTATGGCTTATCAGAAAAAGCCAAAGTATTCACTTTCGCTGAAGAATTTCGTGTCACACACAAGTTTGCTTAATCAGATAAGAAGCGAGAGAAAGAGATAGAGAGAGAGAGAGTGACAGAAAAAGAACGATAGCGAACTGCCAACGATTCCTGAGGAAACTGCCAATACCAGAGAAACCAAACTCAAAATAAACACCCATGAGCATCAGCTGATCCTCCTGGTCGGAGTGAGAGTAGATATCGAGGAAAAGGAAGGAACAACCTGCCATAAAGGTCACCTCATTCAGGTTCCAAAACGGGATGTCTTTCGTATGGTGAGGGGAGCATGATGCTGAACTTGATGGGATACGAGGAGGGGATTGGGTGTCAATTTATGACAACCAAGAAGAGGGGTCATGCTCCGAGCCTGAGCTAGCCAAGGTTTTAAAAGAATTTTAAATAGGTTTTTGAATATTTAGCGGCGATCATTAGGGATGAATTTATTCAGAATGAGCAAGAGCTTTAGAAATCGTCTCTACTCCCAAGCTCTTGCTAGTTTTCGATCCCCCTGAAGCGAACATCTGATGAGCACGGAAACGCACGCGAGGATCAAAAACCTAGCTAGGCTGAGCATGAGCAACGTACGAACACCTAG